TACTAAAAATGAGATGATAATATAACTGACAAAAAAGAAAATCCCAACTGAAGGGTTACCACAGTCTCCTTTAACCGAGCTTCCTGGGTGATCTTTGTAAGGGTCACAGTCTGGTTCTCCACTGTTCAGAATTGGTGCTAACAAACCATCCCAACCAGCTGATGTGGTAATTTGAAATAGGCAGATCATGCTGTTGCCAAAAGTTTCAAAGTTGAACATGTCATCAATACCAACTTCCCTCTTAACGTAGGCAAAGTTGGACATTCCAAATATAGCATAGATAAACATGACCAGGAAAAGCAGGAGACCAATGTTAAACAAAGCAGGAAGAGACATCATCAAAGCAAAAAGCAGAGTGCGGATCCCTTTAGCACCCTTAATGAGACGCAGGATTCGACCTATTCTGGCGAGTCGGATAACTCTGAACAAGGTGGGGGACACAAAATATTTTTCAATCAGGTCAGCTAGAAACATACCTGTTAAAAAATAAATTAGTTAGTAAACATGTAATAAAATGTAATAGCAACTACTAAAGATCTATACTATTACATACAATGTTGACCAATGAGAAGTGAAGCAAACTTATTCAAATAGCAGAAGTTTGCATTATGGGCTTTAGTTCATTTAACCAAACAGTTATAGTACTATGGTCTGACATACAAATCTGAAAAATCCAGCTAGAACTTCTGCAGCAATTTGCAGGATTTTGTAAAACTGCATCAAAGAGATTTGTTGATTTTAGACGGTATCACTATATTTTTTCCTGGAACTGCTCCTCACTTATACACTTCTATGATCTGTTAGTGAATAGACCAGTGGATATTGAAGTTTACAGAATATTTTTCTGTTTAGTTGTAATAAAAGTAATCTAGATTAATCTGAAGGAAGTGCCCTATTCATAGTTTCTGGTAGCGAATTATAATGTAACGCATTAAAATTAAATTATTTAAATTTAATATGCAAATTTAGACAGGTACTTAACTCTTTAATCACCAATGAAATAATGTGACCACAAATTTAGTGGGAATCCCACAGCAAACCAGTATATAAATAAACCAGCAATGAAAAGGCTTCTTAGAAGAAAAAAGTGGCAGAAAATTTCTTTATTATGGCATCAGAGAAGCAGAAAAACTGTGACCTTTTCAGCCACTCAGAAGATAGCTATGGGTGAAATCCTGTTCCCAAAAAATAGGCCATAAAACCAGATTGTGGACTGAGGAATTCTGCAAGGCCGGAGACAAGGAATCGTACCCATTCCAGGCAGCCCTTTCTGCTCTTGTGCGCTAGACAGAGAAATAGGCCATTGGAACTACATATTTATAGATCCACCTGCTCCGGCCCTTCCCTATGCCTCTCCTGAGTTAACAGGCAAGGAGCCCTCAGATGTAAGTGCCAGAGGTGGCTCTGCAGCAGGAATGGTGGGGGTGCTGACCTGCTGTGTGGGGTCCTAGCATGTTATCCACACTAGCCAGTAAAACCAGACGGGGTTCTTTTGCTGTTAGTGCTGTCTGTCATCTCAGGGTTGCAGGGCACAATTTCTCCCTGTGATTACCAATAATAAAGTTTGTTCATTTTTGCCTCGAAACAGCCTTTCCATTTATTGGTTTGTTTCTATACTAGAGTAATATGCAATTTCTACTGCACTCGGAGTCATGGTCTAATAGAGTTGCCAATTTTGGTTGGACGTATTCATTAAGGTTTCATCACATGACATAATCTTAAATTAAAGATTAATCTTTAATTCCTGGAAACTCCAGGACAATCCTGGAAGGTTGGTAAATCTACGGTCTAATTTTTGATACTGAAAATGACAATCAATCAAATCTAATTGGTATAAAAACTCTTAATACACAGTTCCTTTATTTCATGCACAGTATGGAATAAGACATTGGCAAACTAAAGAATCAGACTCTCTTCAAGTCAAATGTTAAGGAACTTAAATTCCTAAAACAAATGTTCAATTTCTACTCTTTTAGTCCCTTCTTGAAAGTGAATTGTACTTACCTACTATAGAGAGAATGACAACTACAAAATCAAAAATGTTCCAGCCTATGGTGAAATAGTAATAACGAAGTGAAATCAGTTTCAGAATACATTCTCCAGTGAAAAGGACAATGAACACAAGGTTAATCCACCATAAATTATTTTGCATCTCATCACTCTGGTCGTCTGTTTCTACCATCATGGTGACCATGTTAAGGCAGATAAGAATCATGATGCTGATGTCAAATACTTGTTTTGTCACAAAATCAAAGACCATGCCTTGGAATTTGTTCTGTGGGTAAAAAAGAATGCATCATGCATACACCTTGTGTATAAATTTCATTCCCAAATTACTACAAATAATTAACTAAATCTACAGTTTCCTCATCTGTAAAATGGGGATAATGATACTGACCTCCTTTGTACTTTGAGATCTACTGATGAAAAGCACTATATATAGACTTGGTGAAATTTGATTTTTATTTTTTTATAATTTCAACAGATAACATCAAGGTTAATTTTTAAGCATTTTTTCAATTTTTATCACTTTAAATTTTCAGTCATAGGAAATTGTGGGGGATCAGACAATAGAATCAGACAATTATTTAATGACAGCAGACATTGAGATTCAAAAAATTAAAGTTTGATAACTGTTAAAACACAAATTGTCAATATCACATCAAAATATACAAAGTAATTATCCACAAATCAAACTCTAATAAGTTCTCAAGGAGTGTTTTTCTTACTTCGCCTATTGGTAAATTTTGATTTATTTTTGAAAAAAAATATAAAAATGTTCATTGGTTTATGTGTGTTCAGTGAAATCGACATTTACAGACATTTACCAATAAAAATCTGATCTTTCCAAGCCTAACTATATAGGACCTAGGTATTATTATTACTATTATTATTAGTTGTACCCTGAGGACTGCATAAGATAGCCTCCTTTTAATATGCATTCACTTGTTTGTGCATACATAGACATTTGCCCACACAAATTCAGTAGTTAGGCCTCCAAAGATTCTACTTATGCATATTAAAAAGAAGATTTTCAAAGCTACACGATTTGGTTGTCTTATTGACATTCATTTTAATATATGGGCTTTAGTGATACAGCAGACTAAAAAAATGTTTAGCTTTGGCAAAACTGGCAAACAAGTTTTGCTTTTTGCCCACGGACATCAATTCCCTTCCCTGAAAACCTATACCGGTCTCAGAGCTAAAGAAAATACAGCCTCCCTAAGAAATACTTCTTGTACCACTAATAAGATCTTCAGCCTCAATTAACTATAAAAAACATTCACTAGAGAAAATCCTTCTTCCATCTGTGCAGCTGTTGAAGATATGCTGACAGCTGAACCAGTATGGTTCCACTGCACAAGGAGCAGAACAGGAATTGAAGGTCCTTTGCATGGGGAGGGAGAACACTTTGAGGAATGCAGAGCTGTACTCTAGTTGCTCCCTAACTGACATTGCACAGGATGGAGGATGGGGAAGAGAGAGGCCGAGAATCCACCATTTCATGGATACTCCAATTCTCTATATCCAAGAACAGGCATGTAAGAGACATGTGGATTAGCTGCCACAGAACAGCTGCAAAGCCACTCTTGGCCTGAGAAGAGGATTCCTTCCTAAGGCCTTGACACCTTTGGCACTCACAGTACTTGAGCTGTAAGTTAGTTGTTTTAGACAGATCAGTGGTTTGAAGGATGCAACCTTCAATCCCACTAGTCTTCCAACAGATGTAGAGTGAGAATTCAAAGCAAAAAGAAGGGTCCTCCACAACCAAGGAGATTAATGAATACAAAAGAGAAAATTCATTTGGATTTAAAGAGAGAAAAAGTTTGCTTTAGGTCAATTATTTTTCTTGCTTACAACTTAACCCAATACATTATTTAAACAGTGTGGGGAGGAGGGAGGGAAATACTTTCATTCTTACCGCTGGCCTAGGTATAGGTTTTTGTGGTTTCTTTGAACCCAGCTTTTTCATTGCATTGTAATATTTCTTCTGTTCTTCCGTCATAAAGATGTCTTGGCCTCCAAAGTAAAGAAATGAGATCAAAACTAGTTACAACCATGTACCTCCATTGATTACCTACAGCCACCATCACAATTAGTATTATCACTCCTGTTCAGAGTCTCAACAGAATCCAAGGACTGAATGGGCATAAAGACTGGCTTGCTCTCTCATTCTTCTTATTTTTATTGTCATTGTATGGGGAGCTGCTAGCAACTCCTGAATTTAGGTTGCCTAACACTTTCCATTCCAAAAGATGTTTGCAACTTTTTCTTTGAGAAGTTCTCAAATGTCCAGTGTTTGCAGTAGGCCTTTGATGTTTTGCAGGGGGAATGCACTCAGGCAACAGATGTACCTTGTCTTTGTCCCATGCAAGTCCTTCAGCTTTTGCCCAGACATGAATTGTTAAAAAATTCAACTTCCCTTCTCTTGTTTTTGCTTAGGAAAAATTTGGCAAAATGCTTAAATAATAAGTAAATATGAATATTCTATGACTGGGTTCATGCCCTTGTTAAAGCAGCAACACATACTGTACTGGGTACACCAAGGAGCTGCCAATGAAGGCATAGTGGAATGTTGCAGGGGTGAAAAGGACTCCCTTCCCTCCTAGACTTAGCACAACATGGTCTCAGCACCTCTCCACCCACAGGGTCACCACATGGGACAGGAGCTCCCCCAACTGATGAATGTGGGCCAGCAAAGAGAGCTAAGTCTGACTGGGTTCCCCCCATGCCAACACACTCTTGGAGTCAGCACTCCTTCCGCCCCATCTGGGATAATAGCCTTTTCCTGCTGTCGGCTAATGTATTTAATCCTGTAGCTCAAGTAGTAATAGTATTTATTCAGCACTGCAGCAAAAATTAAGACTCAATACAGTACAAAGAAGGAGAACATGGTCCTACAACTATGATTTATATGTCTACATTTGGGAGTTCTCAGACATGGAGGCAATGTAGCCAACATTTTTTTTATTGCTTGATTTGGCCATTTAAATCTTTAGCCTTTTTTTATGATATAACACCTTTAAATTGATTATCTTTTTTCTTTTTCTATTTTGGGTTATATATGCTCATGTGTATGGTTTTCCTAATTCATCCATCCTGCAATGGAATGAATATAGTTAAACCTGTTTACATTACATACTGCGTGTTACAGCAAATGATAATAAATGTTAATCATAAAGAGTAAAAAGTATAATATTTTTCTGACCTGAAGTCACTACAGTAATTCATTGTATGGTAGATACCAAAACAAGCAATATTTTTGTATTTAGCTTTCTTTTCAGAACAGTGACGAAATACTTATCTTCTTTTTTTGCTGGTTGAAATTATCTATGATGACACCAATGAAAAGATTCAGGGTAAAGAATGATCCAAAGATGATAAAGATGACAAAGTAAAGATACATGTACAGGTTGTCCTCATACTTAGGCTGATCCAATACCTACAAAACATGCACAAATGTCAAGCTACAGTATCAGGGTGAACACTGTGTGTCAAAAGCCTTATTTGTTATATAAAGCCTAAGGCTCTATTATTCGGACTCATGCGCCTTATGAATTAGCTTATGAATTATACTCTGATTCTGAAGCCCCAGAATTCACCTCCTTGCCACAGAACTCTGTTCCAGAACTCTGTTCTGAGCTTTCATTAAAAAATAAAGTTTCTAGCCCTGTTGTTTCTTGGAAAAACCTTGAAAATGTTAAATGAGTGTAAACGA